TGGGAAACACAGTGAGACCACATCTCTACAAAACAAAACAAAACAAAAAAAGAAAATTAGCTGGGCATGGTGGCTCGTGCCTGTAGTCCAAGCTTCTCAGGAGGCTGAGGTGGGAGGATCACTCGAGCCTAGGAGTTTCAGGCTGCAGTGAGCCATGATCACACCACTGCACTCTAGCCTGCGTGACAGAGTGAGATCCTGTCTCTGAAAAAAAAAAAAAAGAAAGAAACCTAAATAAAAAAAAAATTGTACTTACAGAGTTGTACAATGACATAAATGAGAATAATGTATATAAGAAGACTAGTATGATATCTGGCACATTGTAATTGCATAATTTAAAAAATTATTATTTATCTAAAATATTGATAATAATAAACAAATTAGGATAAAGGGCAAATCTCCATGGCATTTTTTGTGTGTACATTTCCTCAGAGATGACAGCAATCAAAATATTTTGAGACTATCAATTCAACCAGATTTATATTAAGATATACTTAAAATCCAATATAAAAACCTTTGAGATATAAAAACAGTAAAATATTCATTACTATTTATTTTCAGTTACGTTAGCAGGGTGTAATTGCTAAACTAAATGTAATCATTTAATAGAGTGTAGTTTCTATCATCTTCCAAATACTGGTATGAAGAGAAAGAAATCAAGATTGACTGGATGGGTAGGAAAATGTATCTTTTATCACTGAGAAGATCATTTCAACTGTTCAAGCAATTCCTACTTATGTCAGGACTCTGGCAGAGTAAGAGATAAATACATGCCTGTGCTTATTCCTGTGTACTGTCTTACTTTATGAAAATCAAAAGTTAAAATGATAAAGTACAATGGAGGGAAAGTACTTCTAGAAACTTCATCTTTTACTAATAAGGAAAACCAATGAAATACTAATAAAAAGGCCTAGTAAAGAAAAAATGTCTGTAGCATCTGCAATCAGAAGAGCTAAAACTCTTAGACAGTATGTAACATCTGGAATATTAACTTTAATGGCAGTAGGAAGCATCAAAATGTATACTTCACCACCAAACTAAAAACTGCTAATGGACCTCTAAAAAGAAAATGACAAATGAATATAAATCATTGTATCACTGTATATGTCTAGAACTTGTTACATTTATGTTTATTAACACGTTATGTTCCTAAATTTTTCCAGGATAAGATCAATCAAACAACTACATATGGACAATCAAGGAATAAAGTTTTACATCCAAACAAATGGCTGTCATGTAATTTCCCGCAAATAAACACTTCCAATTAATGATTGTTCACAGTATAGTCCTCTTTAGAGTCAAATATGAATCCTAAAATTTACCCATTCTAATGGTGCCGTCTCCAAGGCACTACTGGAATGGGTAAATTTTAGGATTCACATTTGATGGTAATCAAATATTGCCATTAGGATGGCAATATTCTCTTACCTGCTAACTACGTGACTTTGGGCAAATTATTTCAATGTCTCTGTTTCTTAGGTTACAAAATGGAGGTAATATTTACTTCAGAGGCTTTCCAAGAGGATGAATTAGGGTATATTGTGAGATAACATAAAATTTACCGCTTTAACCATTTTCAAGTATACAGTTCTGTAGCTTTAAGTACATTCACGTTGCTGTATAACCATCACTAAAGCTGTATTTTTTAAGCTTTCAAGACTGAGCATGCAGTAACTGCTCAGAGAATGGCAGCTAAAATTACTCTCATTAGTGCTATCTTATTCTATCTTAAATTTGTGTAAATTATTTATTCCTAAACAGAAACTATTTCATATTTATTTCCACTAAATTGCTCCCAGTCTGAGAAATACTAGTTTCACCTTTTAAGCTGTAAACTCTATTTCTAGCTTTCAAATTCTTCATCCAAGTGAATAACAAAAATATACAAATACTAAGAACTAACACACTGAGCATTTACTATGTGCCTAGTGCTGTTCTAAGCATGTTCAATTAATCCTCAAAATAATTTTAGGAGTTATATCCTACAAACATTCACATTTTACAGCTGAGCATAAAGAGGGTAAGGAACTCGTCCAAGGTCAACCATCTGGCAAGCGGCAAAACCAGGATTTGCACTCAACCAACCAAGTTCTAGAGCCACTCTTCACCACTCCACTATGCTGCCTCTCACACACATAGTAACATACCACCCATGGCAATGATTACTTTCAGATGCCAGGTGTTATATGTTGACTGAGCCTTTGAGTTTCTCAGAAGCTTTAACATCTATTACTTCATGTGCCTTTCCCAGAGATAATAAAGAGCAATCAGCCCCATTTTACAGATAGAGAAGCCTCAGGGAGGTCAAGTAATTTGTTCAAGGTCAACAGACCTTGGAGAGGTCCTGGGTTTTAGCTTGGCCACTTACTAGTTGTGTGAAACTGCAAACTCAGCATCACTCAACTGTGAAAGGGAAATGATAACAACACCTTTTACAAGAAGTAAAAAAGTATCTGTTTGCAAAGTACCTGGCATAGAGCTTTGTATAAAAAATGCTCAATAAACATGATTCCCCCTTTCCTCATTTTGCGTGCGATTCCTGGCATAGTGTTCTTTCCAAACACCATGCCACTAATTATCAATATCTTCTCACCAACTGTGTTAACAGATGGGGGGCAAAGGATATGATTTTTTGGAGATTACTATGTGATATCAAACCAGAGACCTCAGTGAACCATGTGATACCAAATCAGGCACCTCAGTGAATTATACCTCCAGCTGTATTATATAATTTTAAATATAAGAAACTTCTTTTATTTTGTCCATATGGCCTATCACTTTATCAAAGTAGAAAATAAAATTGGTATACCAAGATTTGTTCTTTATAAAATTATGCTTAATGTTCCCCAATACCTTCTGTTCTTTTAGGTAACTGCCAAATACCTTACTTGATTTGTTCTGTTTCCGACCAGACATTGTTCAAAAATTATCATTTCCAAATGCTATCTTTTTCCCCTTAAAAAAAAGAATGCTTTTTTTTCCTGTCACTAGATCCTTCTCCTGTTCACCATGATTTCTCAAAAATAAAGACTAATAACTTGGCACTAGGTTTTTTCCCTCACATTTCCACAGAGGGAACATCTAATACTGAATTATAAGTACTATTTATGCCAAATACAGCCATAACAATTAGTATTTTTTGCCATTTAGGCAGCATTTTCTTAAGAAAAGATAAAAATGCCAGGAGGTAGCATACTCTCTTGTAAAGTGAAATTGCTGCATAATTAATCTTTTGTTTTTTTCTCCAGACAGCAAGGATGTCACGAAGCATACACTGTTGACTTCCAAATATCATTTAAAACACTCCCTCCCATGTCTTAAAACAATTTGGAAGTGGATGTTAAAAGCCAAGGGAATTTTTCAATCACGTGTTGACTTCCTGAATCTACTACTTCCCCAACAAGCTAAAAGGCACATTGGGAGGGTACAAGCAGAAGTACCACAGAGAAAAGTGGTACTATGGGAACAATTCATTTGTTTGGCACAGTGAAGGTTCACGCCAATTTGTAACAGTATGGATTCAACAGCTTTTCAAAGTCAAAAATAAGGTTTGGACAAGAGTAGCTTTCCACAATAGCTTTTGCTGAGATCTAATAGCTAATACAAAATTTAAAAGCCTGTAAAAATTGGTAAAGTCCAGACAATGTTTAGGAATTAAAATATGACCTATCACTTTATTTTGCTAAAAAAGCACCAAGCTAAGATATTTGACTTCATGTATTCATTCATTCCTGGGCTAATTTTATGAAAAGAGGATGGAAAATTATATTTTTGGTGCTTGAGTTTAGCCATCTATAAAAAATATTATTTGTTCTACTAATCTTATGAGTCTGACAGAAGGATAAATGAAACAAAAGCTATTAAAGCATTGTTCAAAATTTAAAGTATATAGCAATGTGAGATACAATTGTATTTTTTTAAACTTGTAAGCCTCTATGATGAGGTCATTTTAATCATGTCAGTCCCACCAGACAAGTATACATTACTGACAAAATAACTTAATGATATTTTCTTAGCCCTTTATGGAAATACATTTACCAACAAATATAGATTTTTGTATTATCTGTTTGCTACTAATGTTTTTCACTTTTATAATTTAATATTTATAATAATTAAATCCAATATAAATTCACTTAATTAAGAAATGAAAATTTGGGGTCAGCCACGGTGGCTCACACCTGTAATCCCAGCACTTTGGGAGGCTGAGGCGGGCAGATCATGAGGTCAGGAGTTTGCCAGCCTGACCAACATGGTAAAACCCCATTTCTACTAAAAATACAAAAATTAGCTGGGTGTGGTGGCATCCACCTGTAATCCCAGCTACTCACAAGGCTGAGGTAGGAGAATCACTTGAACCCAGAAGGCGGTGACTGCAGTGAGCCAAGATCACGCCACTGTACTCCAGCCTGGGTGATGGAGCAAGACTCCATCTCAAAAAAAAATAAAAAAAAGTGAAAATTTGGAATACAGTATCTCGTAAAATCACTAACATATCTGCCATTTTACATCAAGAAATTCTCAGTATGGCCAGGTGTGATGGCTCACGCCTGTAATCCCAGCACTTGGGAGGCCCAAGGCAGGTGGATCATCCAAGATCGGGAGTTCGAGACCAGCCTGGCCAACATGGTAAAACCCTGTCTCTACTAAAAACACAAAAATTAGCTGGGCGTGGTAGCAGGCATCTGTAATCCCAGCGATGTGGGAGGCTGAGACAGAAGAATCACTTGAACCCGGTAGGTGGAGGTTGCAGTGAGCAGAGATCCCGCCATCGCACTCCAGCCTGGGTGACAAGAGTAAAACTCCATCTCAAAAAGAAAAGAAAAAGAAAAAGAAAAAAAAATCTCAGTATTATTGCAAAAAGACTATTCAGTTTTAAATAAGTTTTATAAAATAAGATTAACTTCCCAATATTAACATTCAAACTAAGAAAGTCAAACACACTAATAGTTTCACATAAAAACAATACTTATACCCTTGTCCCATGAAATGGTTCAGCTTACCTCATCTCCCTTTAAAACTTCAGTACCATCGAATTCACGGGTCTGATTTCTCTTTAATGATGCTTCTCTCTCTAGGCTGGCTAACTTCTCCTTGGCCTCCTGAAGTTCTTCAGCTTTGGCTTCTTTTTTACGGGAAATGATAGATGCCTGATTGAGCATTAAATATGAATATATAATAAGATATACAAACAGCTTCCTATTGTCTTGTGAAATTATCTATTTTTTAGATTTTACCAAGTTATATTTTCAATATCAGCTTGGTCTCTCCTAACCAATACTCCTTGCCCTACTATTCATCATCACCAATTATACTGAATATGAACATACAACGTATATTAAATACCAACCTACAAACACTTTGGAAAACAAAGCTCTGAAAATGTAAGACATATCAGCAGAGAAACAAAAATGTGCTAATAAGAAAAATATTAGGCCAGGTGCAGTGGTTCAAATCTGTAATCCCAGCACTTTGGGAGGCCGAGGCAGGCGGATCACGAGGTCAGGAGTTTGAGACCAGCCTGACCAACATGGTGAAATCCCATCTCTACTAAAAATACAAAAATTAGCCGGGTATGGTGGTGTGCGCCTGTAATCCCAGTTACTCAGGAGGCTGAGGCAGGAGAATCGCTTGAACCCGGGAGGTGGAGGTTGCAGTAAGCAGAGATCACGCCACTGGGCTCCAGCCTGGGTGACAGAGCAAGACTCTGTCTCGGAAAAAAAAAAAAAAAAAAAAAAAAGGAAAAGAAAAATATTAAAGTCTTCTCAGATAACACTCAAATGCTAATGAAAATACATCCTAGTTCAAGTCAACAGAAGGTAACACCAAGTCTACTGTATTTCTCATGGTGGGTTTCCCTTTATTGGAAGAAAAAAAATGCTTCATTCTCAAAACTACAACACGGGTCATCTTACTAAATTCAATATCCATACTTTTAAAATGAAATATTAAAACATCTATTATATTTGGGCCATTCTAATAAATAAAATGCAGGTTCAAACTCAAACATCTGACTCACCAGAATTAGACAAATGTTTACAAAATGCAAATAGCTACTCTTAGCGGCATTTTATATTAGCTAGTAACTGTTGGGAGATTTCCTTAAATGAACCATAGGTGTACTAGTTTAAGAAAAACATTAGCCAATCTGTCTTAAGAGAAAGGATACAAATAATTTTTCAAGAAAATATGACAGGGGAGCGAAATCTCTAGCACAAATCCTTTAAAAAAATTCTATTGTCCTTTCTATAAAAAAATGAAAAGACAGGTGATGATGAAGGAATGTTTCACTCCATAGAACTATTCTAGCTTAAACAATGAAGGAGGCTGGGTGTAGTAGCTCACGTCTGTAATCCCAGCACTTTGGGTGGTCAAGGTGGGAGGATCACTTGAGCCCAGGAGTTTAAGACCAGCCTAGGCAACATAGTGAGACCCTGCCTCTAAAAAAAAAATAAATAATAAAAGAAAAATAGCTGGGTGTGGTGATGCACACCTGTGGTCCCAGCTACTTGGCAGGCTGAGATGGGAGGATCATTTGAGTTTAAAAGGTTGAGGCTGCAGTGAGCCATGATCATGTACTGCACTCCAGCCTGGGTGACAGAGACCCTGTCTGAAAGCAAAAAAAAAAAAAAAAAGTGGGTCAGGCATGGTGGCTCGTGCCTGTAATCCCAGCACTTTGGAGGCCAAGGCAGGCGGATTACCTGAGGTCAGGAGTTCAAGACTAGCCTGGCCAACACGGTGAAACCCTGTTTCTACTAAAAATACAAAAATTGGCCAGGCATGGTGACGTGTACTTGTAGTCCCAAATACTTGAGAGGCTGAGGCAGGAGAATTCCTTGAACGTGGGAGGTGGAGGCTGCAGTGAGCCAAGATTGTACCACTGCACTCCAGCCTGGGTGACAGAGTGAGACTCCATCTCAAAAGAGAAAAAAAAAAAAAAGTGGTGAAGAAGGAATGATAGAATACCAAACTGTGTAAGAATTGATGGTATACTTCAATAATAAAATAAGTAACATAAAATAAATATAAACTTCATTCCCAAACCAGGATCTTATTTAATAGAAAAATATGAGGGTATTTCCCACTAAACTCAGGAACAAGAAAAAAATGCCCACTACCTTTACACAGTTTAATTACTGCGTTGAAAGTATTAGCTAATAGACATGAGACAGCAGTTAGAAGCATAAAAATTTGACAGGAAAAATTGGAATTTGCATGTTATATATAATTATGTGTCCAAAAGAATCAATAGAAAAACTACAGAAACCAAATCAATAGCTTTCATAGACAAAATCAGTCGGAAGACATAAGGAAAGAAAAGCCCTCATTTATAAAAGCAAAAATGAAAGTAAATACATGTGATGGTTAATATTAGGTGTCAACTTGACAGGATTGACGGATGTTTAGGTGGCTGGTAAAGCATTTTTTCTGGGTGTGTCTATGAGGGTGTTGCCAGAGGAGACTGACATTTGAGTCAGTGGACTGGGAGACAAAGACCCACTCTCAATGTGGTGGGCACTGTCCAATCAGCTGCCAGTGCTGCTAGAACAAGGCAAGGAGAGGAAGGTGGGATAGCTTTGCTTGCTGAGTCTACTGGCTCTCTTTGTTCTTCCCATGTTGGATGCTTCCTCTCCTACTGTCCTCGGATATCAGACTCCAGGTTTTTCAGCTTTTGAGACTTACACCAACAGCTTCCTTGGGCTCTTGGCCTTTCGGCTGCACGCTGAAGGCTACACTGTCATCTTCCCTGGTCTTGAGGCTTTTGGCTTTGGACTGAGCCACTACTGGATTTTCTCTTTCTCCAGCTTGCAGATGGTCTGTCATGACTTTGCCTTGTAATTGTGTGAGCCAATTCTCCGTCATAAACTCTCTTTTATATATACCTATATCCTATTAGTTCTGACTAACCAATAGGATATATGGTTGATTAGGATAACCCTGACTAATACAATATGTAGGCATAAATTTTACTTTTAGTTTCGAAACTGTTTGAGGAGGTGAGATTCTGAGAGGGTGGTGGAGCAGGAAGCACCTGAAATCTGTCTCCTCACCTAGTGAACAATTGCTCTGGTATTCCAAAATAATTACAACACATGGATTCTACCAGTGTAATTGTTGGAATACTGAGTGCTTGCAACATCCGGTGGAAAGCTTGGACAGCAAAGTGAGGCTAATTTCAATCAATTTCAGCCCTTAGCACAGTAGCAGGTTTCATCTCCCACCCCCAGCCCCAAACACATGTTCCTGGTGCAGCGTCCACACAGCTTGCTGGAGCAAGAGTGAACAGAAAGGACCTAGTCCTCCAATACTGGGGATCTGTGACCTGAGTGCTACTTCTGATCACAGAGGTGCAGACAAAGAGAGGGAGGCCATTGTTGTTGCATCTTCCACCATTATTACAAGTCCCTCCCCCTCTGACTGAAGTGACTTCTAGAGGATTTATAGGTCTGGATCCTTTTTTCTGTCCCTTTAATTTTTCTCATTCTCCCTTTTTGGAAACCAGACATTTAAGACTAAGACATTAAAAAGCAACTGCATATATGGGAAAATTTAGAAAGTGACCACACATGTCCAGGGAAATGCAATGGCTCAGAAAAGACCTGAGATAATTTTTTTTTTAATTTTTTTTTTTTTTTTGAGACAGGGTCTGGCTCTGTCACTCAGGCTGGAGTGCAGTGGCCCAATCTTGGTTCACTGCAACCTCCGCCTACCAGGCTCAAGCAATCTGCCCACCTCAGCCTGGTGAGTAGCTGAGACCACAGGTACACACCACCACACCAAGCTATATTTCTGCATTTTTAGTAGAGACAGGGTCTTGCCATGTTGCCTAGGTTAGTCTCAAACTCTTGAGCTCAACCACTCATCTTGGCCTCCCAAAGTGCTGAGATTGTAGGCATAAGCCACTGTGCCCACCCTATCTTAACTTTACACTTTAGCCTATTCTTTGGCCCAGTCTACACCAATCAAAAAAACAAAAACAATAACAAAAAAACAGTAAACCCCTGGGAAAAGAGAGAACCTAATTTCCAGAGTTACTACATTATGAGATTCCAATGTCCACTTTTCAACCAAAAAAAATCACAAAGCATAAAAAGAAACAATAAAATATGATACATCTAAAGGAAAAATATGAGGCCAGGCACAGTGGCTCACACCTATAATCCCAACACTTTGGGAGGCTAAGGCAGAAGGATCCCTTGAGGCCAGGAGTTTGAAACCAGTTTGAGCAGCATAATGACACCCTGTTTCTATTTTTTAGAATAAAATTGTTAAAAAAATTTGAAAATAGACCAGGCACGGTGGCTCATGCCTGTAATCCTACCACTTTGGGAGGCCAAAGCAGTTGGATTACTTGAGGTCAGGAGTTCCAAGATCAGTCTAGCCAACATAGTGAAACCTGTCTCTACTAAAAATACAAAAATTAGCCAGGTGTCATGGCTAATTTTTGTATTAGCCTGTAATCCCAGCTACTCAGGAGGCTGAGGCAGGAGAATTGCATGAACCCAGGAGGTGGAGGTTGCAGTGAGCTGAGATTGTGCCACTGCACTCCACCTGGACAATGGAGTGAGACTCTGTCTCAAAAAAAATAAAATAAAATAAAATAAAAATAAAAACAGAGGAAAAAAATGAATCAATAGAAGTTCTCTGAAAGAGACCTGATGGCATATCAACTAGATAAGGACTTTAAAACTACTGTCTTAAAGATGCTTAAAGAACTCACGAAGATGTGTAGAACATCAAGAAAACAATGTATTAACAAAATGGAAATGCCAAATACAGAGAAAACCTAAAGAGAAAGGAAAAAGAAATCCTGGAGTTAAAAAGTACAATATTGAAATTAAAAATTCACTAGAGGGATTCAAAGGCAGATTTGGGAAGGCAGACAAAAGAATCCATGAACTTGAAGACAGGTCAATGGAAATTATCAAGTCTGAGAAATAGAAAGAGAAAAATATTGAAGAAAAGTGAACAGAGCCTAAGGGACATGTGGGATACCATTAAGTAGACCAGTATATGCACTGTGGGAGTCCCAGAAAGAAAAGACAAAGAGAAAGGGACAGACAGAATATATGAAGAAATAATGTATGAAAACTTCATCAATTTGATTAAATATAAATATAAACATCTAAGAAGCAGAATAAACTCCAAG